GCTCTCCACTCTGTGGGTGCAGAGGGGCAGAGGATTTGTTTGCACGGAGGTTTTGAGTGGGGAAGAGGTCACCCAAGGGTTTTGAGGGGGTCTCTGGTGGGTGTCACCATGCCATTTGAGCAGCTGAAGTTCAAGGAGCTGGGTGAGGAGGAGCCCACGTGGGAGGAGGAGAACCTGGACAGTGTGAAGGCGCTGACAGCCAAGCTGAAGCTGCAGACGAGGAGACCTTCCTACCTGGAGTGGGAAGCCCGGGTGAGGGGACAGCCCTGGCGCAGTCGGACCCCTGGGGGGACACGAGGGACAGAGCAGGTACCTGGGCACCCTGAGGATGAGTGTGGTGGCATCTGTGGCTTTGCCACCATGGAGGCGGCTCTGGAGTGGCTGAGGATGGAGCTGGTGAGTAGCTGTTGGTGGGATGGGGGGCATGAGGGGTGGGCAAGGGCTGAGCCCACAGCAGGGATGAAGCCCTCTGTGTAGAGGGGGTGCTTGCAGCCCGACCTCACTCAGCAGTGACAGGATGTGTCATGGCCAGGGTGCTCCAGCTGCAGCTCCCTGCTTTGCTCCTTCACCCAGCACAGCCAGTGTATGTGGATTTTTTGCACATGTCCCCTGTGTGGCACCGGGGGTCATGGCTCTGCCAAGGTCTGCCACTTGTCTGCTGGTGGCATGGCTGCAGTGGATCTCATTGATGTGGCACGTGGGGCTTTCATGGGGTGGCACAGGCAGCAACAGCCATGTGGGTACAAACCCACGGGCATCTGAGTGACCCTGGGGCTGTGACTCTGGCACAGACCCTGTGCTGACCCTGGGGCTGTGTGTGTGGGTTCTGTGCTGAGACCAAAGCCACACGTACACATGGTGGGTTTGTGCCCTGGCCAAACCCCAGCCCTGCTGCCCCAGCATTCCCAGTGCCAGGGCAGCTGACCCAGCAGCCAGTCCTGCTCCAGCCCTGGTCCCCATCTCTCCATGCAGCGGGAGATGCAGGCTGCGGACCAGCGCCTGGCACAGCAGCTGATGCGCCTGCGAGCACGGCTGCACCAGCTGAAGGGGGAGCAGGCCTGTCACCAGCACAAGGAGATGCTGGACGATGCTACCTTTGGCCTCGAGGGCTGCGAGGAAGACTCAGACCTGCTCTGCAACATCCCACCCAAAGCCGCCTTCCTGCTCTCCATGCCACTCAAGCACATCGGTGTCACCCGCATGAATATCAACTCCCGACGGTTCTCCCTTTGCTGAGCCCATCAGAACCAAGTCCGGGTGGGAGCCTCATGGTCACCCATGGGTTCATCTGGACCTGGTGGGGCTCGCAGATCCCTCTCAAAGTGCTTTGGGGACTGTGGAGCTCCCTCAGTGCAGGCAGTGCTGAGCCGCGGTGCAATGCTGTGCTGCAGTGGCATTGGAAATGCCACCATCTCCGTGGGGCTCGGGGTGTTTTGGGGCACAGAGTGCCCTGTCCCTGAGAAGAGTGGGGTCAAACACAGTGTAAAATGTGGGGAGCAGCCCTTTGAGGAGGAATAAAAGGAAGTGAAGGTGAGAGCTGGTGTTTTTTCCTTTCTTTGCATGTACCCAGGCACTTGCCTGTGACTCCAGATGTGGCTTGTGGCCCTTCACTAAGGGGACATGGGGTGGCAGGAGGGACCGTGCTGCCATCGCCCCTTCCCTGGGGCTCTGGCTCATGGGGTGGGTGGCTTCTCACCAGTTTCTAGTGCAGGATGGTGCCATGCTGGGGAGATGGCATCTCTGCTTTGGGGACCTCGCTGCCAGCCTCTCCCTGGGTGCCCCGGGCAGCAGGTGGGTGCTCAGGCTGCGCTGTTGTAGGAAACACT